GCCTAATTTTCTCGTTTGTCCTTTAAATAACTTCATTTTATTGTTTTAAAAATATAATTGAATATATTTTGAAAAGAATATTCAATTTGGTAAAAGTAGTTCAGAATATGTTTCATCCCTTCTTTTTCTTGCATAATTTACTGAAAATTCTTTAGATGTGGTACTTTTATCTTCTTTTTATCTTTTAACTTGTATCATTTTGTATGTGTTTGAAAAGTATAATTACTGAACTTAGTCTTGATACTTTTGACATTCTTTCCTTTACCATATAAAGCAAATTCGACGGTAATCCTTGTAAATTTTAAGCACGGGCGAATCTTTGTGTATTGGAAAAAGAACATTTAAAGTAATTTTCCTTGAGCTTTTCTGGTATCGGTTTTTGACATCTTTGTCGTCCATTCTTGATCCATCTGTTTTGCTTGTTTGTTTGATGCACTTTTCCTTGCGTTTGTTGTGAGTTCCCTTTTTAATTTATGAGATGGGCTTTGCTCGCTTACAATTCATTGTTACCTTTTAATCCTTACTGGCATATCTGATCGATAAGAATGTAATCCCGAATTCATTTACTTAACGCAGAGAGGTCGACAATCTCAAAAGCCTTTCATGCCACCTAGGGAGGTGCATGTTCAGGTCACACACTCGATGCCACCTCAGAAGATTGAGATCTTCAAATCTTTGGAGGACTGGGCCGAGAACAACATTCTAACTTACCTCAAACCAGTTGAGAAATGTTGGCAACCCCATGATTTTCTTCCGGATCCTACATCGGATGGATTTTATGACCGAGTCAAAGAACTTAGGGAAAGGGCAAAGGAGATTCCTGATGATTACTTTGTTGTTTTGGTTGGTGATATGATCACGGAGGAAGCTCTTCCAACTTACCAAACCATGCTTAATACCCTTGATGGAGTTCAAGATGAAACAGGCGCTAGCCTTACTCCTTGGGCAATTTGGACAAGGGCATGGACAGCTGAAGAAAACAGGCATGGTGATCTACTTAATAAGTATCTCTACTTGTCTGGAAGAGTTGACATGAGGCAGATTGAGAAGACAATCCAGTATTTGATCGGATCGGGGATGGTAAGTAACATGCAAAACTTTATCGAATCCTTTGCTGTTCATCTTCTGATTTGATTAAAGCATTGCACTAAAACACTTCTGGAATTAGATTTCCCTGGTGACATTTTCCCCGTGTAGTGTACCACCATGGAGTTATATTTCGGAGAATAATCGAACATTTACAAAAGCATGCATGCAAGATGTCATATTTCTTAAATTTTTCTTATGTATATTTATAGGATCCACGTACAGAGAACGTACAGAAACCCATATCTGGGTTTCATCTACACATCATTCCAAGAAAGGGCAACTTTCATCTCCCATGGGAATACAGCCCGACTCGCGAAGGAGCACGGTGATAATAATTTGGCTCAAATATGCGGTAACATTGCCTCGGATGAAAAGCGCCACGAGACTGCGTATACTAAAATCGTTGAAAAGCTCTTTGAGATCGATCCTGATGCAACAGTCCAGACATTTGCTGACATGATGAGGAAAAATCTCCATGCCGGCACACTTGATGTACGATGGCCGAGATGACAACCTTTTGATAATTTCTCAGCTGTTGCACAAAGGCTTGGGGTTTACACTGCCAAAGACTATGCTGATATACTTGAGTTCCTGGTTAACAAATGGAAGGTGACGGAGATAAATGGACTATCTGCAGAGGGTCGTAAAGCTCAGGATTATGTGTGTGGACTTGCTCCAAGAATCCGAAAGCTGGAAGAGAGAGCTCAAGGAAGGGCCAAGCAAGCACCCAAGGTTCCATTTAGCTGGATATTTGACAGACAAGTCCAGCTTAAGATGATGATGGCGATTTTGATTTTCTACTGCATTATGTCTTTAAATTCATGTTTAAAAGTTTTCAACTATATAAATAAATGTTTAATCCATAAGAACCGAAACCCCAAGTGATGTTTGTATCAAGTCGATAAAATTCAATCTATCTTGTTAAGTTTGTTATATTCCAACTTGTGATTGAATTGGATATTATTCTAGGATTATATATTATTTGTGTAGATTGCTTGCTATTTAAGTTATTCTAGACTTTATATATTTTATGTAAATCCCTATTTAAATCGTTCTAGTTTGAGGGCTTATATATTAAAAAAATTAATATAATAATTTATTTATAAAAGTACATAGAATTCGAAAAGAATCTTAGGGTGTTTGTTTGGCTGTAATTGGTTTTCTGGAAATTAAATTATGAAAAATGAATTACTGGAATTTGAATTCTGAAAAATGAATTACATTTTTGGAAAATGTTTTCCGAAAAATGAATTACATTTTTCTGAAAACATCTGAAAAAATTTTACGATGTTTGGAAGATGTTTAAATCTTTTTTTTTCCAGTAGTTGATGAGTTTTTTAAAAATTATTTATTACAAATATTAAATACAATAAATAATATTATTTATCATAAAACTTAATATTATTATTTTAAAATATTAAAATAATTTATTTATTAATAAATATTATTTTATAATTTTTTAATAAAATATTATATGGTATATTTTAGTGGAATGAAAATATTATAAATTATATTAATTATTTATTAAAGTAATAGTGTTATATTATATTTTAAAAATATTAATTAGTATTTTAAATATCTTTATTAAAATATTATTAGATTATAGATTAATATTAAATATATAAATAATATTATTCATTATTAAATATATAATAATTTATTATATATTATTAAAATAAAATTATATCTTATATTATTATATATAATTGATTAATTTATTATAATATTAAAAATATATATTAGAAATATTAATAAATATTTTAAATATTTTAATAATTAATATTTGAAGAAAATAATATTAAAATATTTTATTAATATTAAATTCATAAAATAAACTTATTTTGAGTATTTATTTTTTGAAGTGAAAAGTTCGGAAAATGACTTATGGAAAATCAGACCGTAAGTCATTTTCCAGAAAACACAAAGGAAATTTTGTGATCAGAAAAATGTTTTATGCTGACCAACCAGTTTTTCTCCAACCAAACACTGGAAAATATTTTCGGAAAATGAATTACGTGAAACAAACACGGGAAAACATTTTCCGGAAAACGAATTACGTGAAACAAACACGAACGGAAAAAACCAATTCCATAATTCATTTTACGACAAACAAACATACCCTTATTCTTTTAATAAGTAAATATTTGCGGGAAAAATATATTTAAGCTTTTTTTTTTAAATGCATACAATTCAAAAGGACAAATTAAAAATATGAAGGAAAAAAAAGGAGTTGGCTCAAGTAGCAGCTTAATATTATTTAAATAAGTTTTGAGTTTGGAGTATTGTGTATGTGAAAAATTTTAATTATGAGACTTATCCGTCAAAACTAGGTATACGACACGAGTCAATCTATGTTAATCTAGGCAAAACCTTAAAAAACTAGGAAGACAATTAAAAAAATCCAAATTGGTTGGGGATCATTGTTTTCGGCTCTAGACTTGAGCTGGTCGGTGCCCATAATTTTATGTAAAATTATTGAAAAAAACAATATTAATATCTTTTTCAAAATTATTAACACTACACATTACTTTAACAATATTTTACATCATTAAAGAAAATGATAAAATCATATATTTATTCACTAACTTATTTTTGTGGTTATATTTTGATTGTCTAATTATTTTTACGAATTAATAATAATACTAATGTATTATGATAAAGTAAAGTTACATCATCCTTAAATAAAATAAAATAAATACCATATCAACGGTTTCGTTTTTTTAGCGGCTGATAACTCAAAAGTAATATTAAATATGATTTAAAAATAATTAAATGATCAAAATAAAATCACGAAAAAAAATATGTGACTATATACGTAGTTTATCCTAAAAAAAATTAAGACTCGCAGTTTGCCCCCAGTCCCTCACTTGAGAAATTTTATTTTATAAAAGTTATTAAAATAAATGAACTCGTAACAAGTGTAGTAAATTATACCGTGATACAAGAGGCATAAATAACTCCCCCAGCAATCTGAGAGATACCTCTTTCCGGTCATAGGCATTGATTATACAGCTTGCAAGATAAGTACAACAATAATCAATTGCAAAGACCCACCAAAACTGTAAAATATGGACTGTGCAACATGGACCAACACATAATCTCCAACAACTAGGGGAAATTGGACCATTAGGTTTCAATGCAGCAACTCTTACTTTGCAATCTCAATGGTTAAAAAATTATTATTATATTTTAAAATTTCGAGTTCGAACATCATATATATCAAAGATATATGTATTCAATATTTTAAATGATTGAGAGTCTTTAAACAAATATTTCATTGTAGTCACCTCGTATTAATAAATAAATAAAAAACTTGACCTCAGGCCTTGATTTCTTCTGATAAACCCTTTAAGTTAATAACCTCAAATCAACTTTCCACATTCATTATATCATGATTCAAGCTTCAACTTCTCTAAGATCACGGAAGTAGGATTTTGAGCTCCTCACCAATCCGAAAACCAGCGGTGGACCCATCAATGAGACCAGCAAGATGGAAGGCCAGTGTGTTCTTGAGGTCACCAAGGAGGTCATCAATGGCAACGAGACAACTGAGGTTTTTAAGGTCATCCATAATCCCCACATTTGGCCATATAAACTAGCCAAACCTTTGAAGATAAACGATATATATACATATACATATACACACATGTGAAATTTTTCTTCGAACCTATCCTGAGAAAGGTCATCAGGGGAAACATCACAAACACAAAAAGTGCCTAGGCCTTGAGCTTTTCAAACAATAAGCAGTGTTTGATCACAAAAATTTGATAAATGATCGTAAGCTCTTTCATGTCCAGTCCAGATCCAAGAAGAGTAAACATAAACAATCAGTTTGAAGACTATATCCAAGGAAAAAATTAGGTAATAGGTCACTTTTATTATTAACTGTAATATAAATATAAAACGTATAACCAACAAAGACAATCAATTAAACACAGAGTTTAACCACATAACTTTGTCTGCCATACAAATTACCTTTACCTAGTTCTTGAATACATTATGACAGAAAGAGTGATGAGCTCAAGCCTTTCATCCCCTGTTTGATTTTGCCTCTAGCTTTTTCTGCTCCTCAAACTTATCTATAGCTACCTGGAGTTCATCCGTACCTCCAACTGCTCTCATGGTATAGAAATATACACCAAAGACGAAGGCTGACAAACCCCCAGCAACTACCAAATTCTTAGTCTTGGGTGCGAGGTTGTTAAATGCCAAAAGCCGGCCATCTCGAAGCAAGTAGTTGATCCAATGGGTTAATACCTTCAAAGCTGAAATTCACCAAGATATGAGTCTATTATCTTCCACGAGTCCAATTGGCAAAGGGGAAAGGAGTAGAAAAACACGAAAAATTAACACCGTCATTCCATACGATTCTTCGGAAAATTGAGGAAAAGTAAAAATTATGAAAAAGAAAAAGATGGTAGAACTCCCGTCTTGTTGAGTGATGGAAAACAGAACGAAAAATGTTAAGGTTTATTTGGTTGCTTCTTTTCCCCCTAAAATTGCTAAGAAGCTATGCAAAGGAAGGAAACAAGAACATAATTGACTGCAAATAAACAATCGAAACTTGATGGATTCATGGGTCACTTGATTATTCATTTGTAGTCCTAAGTCAATGATAGAACCACTCTCTCTCTCTCAATATTATATTCCGGGAATTCAAGGAATCATCTTTTGCATGATACATGAATATATATTGACAAGCAAGAAGAATAACCAAATTATCTAGCACATCATGTTGATATACTTTTTGAGCTTTCATTGTTGATTGGTGCATGACTCCTATTCAACAACCAAGATTTAATCCCCTTCTCCAGATCAAAAGTAAATAGCCAATTGAAATGTAACATAAATTCTATTGTTCCTAACAAAGTAAAATAGTGCAATTCATTTTCTATATACAGTTCCAGTTTTTCTTATTATTCAAAATACACGCGCTACTTGCTTTGGTATCAACAGATTACTTTGTACTTTCTGGTTCTGGAAACGAAAGTGTAAGCAGTTAGGTAACAGTGATGTTCAGAATATTAAACATAACAGAAAATAAGGCATCGAAATTCAAACAAAGTGATAACACTGATTTCAAGCAAAAACTTCACAGCAACAAAAACGGGCATTGTTCATACTTCATCCTTTAAACAATTATTAAATCGACGAATATGTGTATCTAATCATAAAAACAATAACAACCAATCAACCATCCAATACAAACCCATTTCTCATATCACTCAGAAAAATTAGATTCATAAAAGTTTAAGCCAAGAACTTGAAAAAGAAAAGTGTTCATCCAAAATTTTGCTAAACAATAACCGTTCTCTCACGCTTAGAAACTAGTCCAATGATTTCTTTCTTTTTACAGTAACACACACACAAAAAAAAGAGTTAAATGGAACGGTGGAGTCAAAGCTGACCTGAAAATCCCAAATCAATGATGGGGTTTTGATCCTAATTTGAATCCAGAGAATGAAGAGAAACGAAGGGGAAGAGCTGCAGGTTTGAGGTAAATAAAGGGACAAACGGTGCATGGGTTTGGTTGATGGGCAAGCAGAACTATGTAGGCCCAATAAGTAACTTGCTGGTCTCAACTCTCAATGTTGGCCCTTAATCTTTTATTATTTCCATGTGAGAGGGATAAAAAAATCACATTAATTAATGGTGTTCTTCAAGTATAACTATAATTCAGAAATGCGAATCAAATTATCTTAATAGCTAAAAGGATGATTGTTATTTTTGTGATCTCAAATTTAAATACGATTTCTGCATAAATATTTGAGTGTTTATTATCATATGATTAAAAGTTCTTAAAATAAATATTACCTATAATTCAGAATTCAAAATAAAACACTTTAAACTGTAGGTAGCATATTGACTATTTAATCAAATTATAAATACCATTTGTGACATTTTTTTTGAGAAATAAGTAATAATTATTATATCAAACTCAATGAGTAGTTCTAAAGTCTAGATTTATTATAAGGTCCAAATCCTATAAAAAAAACGACCAGTGGGCAACTGATGCGGCGGAAGCAAGGCCAAGCTAACGGCGACTTCAGCAGCGGCATCATTGAGAGGAACAAGAGCTCCTCCGACTCCCTATATACATTGGTCCCAAGATTCTATAATTGAACAATGTTTCATCATGAAGATGATTATTTTTTATCCCAAATTTTTCTTGATAAAGAATAAAAAAGATATAAATGTTTGGATTGATGAAGACTTTAAGTTGATTTTTCGTGAAAAATGGTATAGCTAGGGGAGTAATCATTAGCTAGGTTAGAAAGAAAAAGGAACATGTTTTTAATGAATTTGAACATTGTTAAGTGAAGTTGTGTGCAATTAAATACGGGTGGTTACAAAAAAATAAATAAATAATTGATGACTATGTGTATACGTTGTGTGATATTGATGAGCAAAAATATATACTAGATGAGACATGAGGATTAAACGCTATGTTCAAGAGCAATGATGATGATTACATTTTAAAATTATTTTATTTTATTTTGGTGATATTTTTTTCAAACGTGTATATATATTGAACAGGACAGATGATAGTCATCTTCTTGAAAATTTCAAATTAACATACATTTTAGATTTTTCTATATTTTCAAGATAATCCATTTCATCTCCTAGAATTTTATACGTTGATTATACCCCTTCATGATAAAAGTAGTTAAAATAAATTCCCATGTATGCAACTAGGTATAAAAACAAGCCATTTCCAGCACATTTTTTCAAGTTGGGGTCATATCAATGTAGGCTAGAAAATAACAAAATCTATTATTACATTATCAGTAAAGATGCCATGTTCTAGATTTAAAACTACAGAGATAAAATACAACTTTCCTACTTAGGAAAATAAGACTTCTCTAAGATACCCTTCCAATCACTAACAATCAGTTCGGTAGAAAGCGGCAGAAGCTATGGCACAGTTCAGAATTCCCCTAGATAAATCTGCTTATCGCTACTGCATGAACCGATGATCGGTTCGTTGGGATGAAAGACGGATTCATTCACGGATCCTGTGTGGCCAGGAAGCTTGTACAAGATCCGTCGAGAAGTTGTGTCCCATATGTACACCATCCTATCCGAACTACCAGCTGTGACCTTGCTTCCATCTGGTGACCAGCCACATTTCAACAAGTTCTTTTCAAAATTGTGTTGGTGCCCTTCAAAAATCTTTACGCAGCGGTTCTGTGGTGCATAAGGGCGCATGTCCCAGATGCAGAGTTTGCAATCCATGCCATTGGTGAGAAGGTAAGAACCATCAGGACTCAAACTCATACCTGTTATCATGTCTTGATGACCCTGAAGTGTCATGGTTACTTCACCTTTTCGTAAGTCCCAAACCTTAATATCGTTGTCGATACCACCTGTGAAGATCTTATCTGATGCATCTGAGAAACTGACAGCTGTAATTTGGTATTTATCGGGAAATGTCTGGATGGCACCCTCTGACGCATATCCCAAAGTTTTGCTGTTCCGTCATCAGATCCACTAACAACGAGAGGTAGTCCTCTCCGTGATGGGCAGCATGAATTCACAAAAGATGAGTGTTCTGCCTTTTTTATTTGTTTCCCTGTTTCAACGTCCCATGCTCTCAACGTTTTGTCAGGGCTAGCTGATATTATCTGGGATCCATCGGTGGTCCAATGAAGATCCAAGATTGCATTCTTGTGCCCTTTTAGAAAAATGAAGTTTTTGCAGTCTCCATGGACATTCCACATAAAAATTTCTCTGTCATGCGATCCCGATGCGATGACAGTCCCAGCTGGATTAAACTTCATGGTATATATAGAACTCTGATGTCCGGTAAGCAACATTATTGGTGACTCCAGACTTGATGTACGTTTGTTTCCATTTCTGTCTGGAGCTTGGGGAGTGTACGGAACAGTGGACCATTCCATAGGCCTTGGACCTGACAAAGCACTTTCAACCTCCCTTGGAACAATTTCCATCTTCGAACCTTGGGTTGGTATTTAGCAGGTACAAAAATACACTTCTCTCAGCTTCAACCTGTAATATAATATCATAGAAAACAAATATTACATAAAAGATATATGATTGTATCTTGAAAGCATTGGTCCATCCTGGACTAGACTTCATAACTTACAATGCAAATTAATGTAACTATGATCCTGACCCTTTTCCCAGCATGCCAACAACACAAATATACTTCTCAGAAGAGGATAAGAGCAAAAAAAAAAGAAGAAAGTATCTTGCACACTATCAAAACAATTCAACTAATTGGAAGAACACGATTTGAATAGAATAGACATGCATCACTGATGTGTCAATTACATCAAAAACCATAAATTGGTGTAACTTTGATTTTGAAACAGATCAATAAGGTACCCCAAACAGGAATAAACTCACAAAGGGGTGGTATATAATTATACCAAAAACAAGTTAATAAACAGAAGGGTAAACCTCAGGTGCTAAGCACAGAGTTTATCAGGTTCCTAAATATAATCAAGCCTTAAGGAAAAAGTTACTGATACAGTTCACCTTAATTCTCACAATGCCATTTCCACATGAAATATAAGCAAGTTACTCTACAAAAATCTTAATCTAAAACAACGAGCTAAAGTAACAAACTTTACTATCAAAACATAAAATTCACAGGAATAAACAAAAAAGAGTTATGCTAGACAAGGAGTCAAAAGATCTAGGGATGTTCAACTCGGAATTCGATTCAATTGTAAGATCATGTATCCATTACAGAAAGTGTTAAGCTATAACAAAAGGGTTTTCAAAAAAATAGCAATTAGCATGAAGCTAAACCCTAAACGGTTAGCCAGTAAAAAACGAAACTTCGCTCACTATGTGGATCTGAAATTTCATCATAACAAGCTAAAAAATATCAAATCATAACTCAACAATGCAATCTATTAAATCCAAATAGATACAAAACAAGGGATCTTAAATGGTAAGTAAATGAATAAAGAAAGTGAAGAGAATGCGATAACACCGCCGCCGAGGAGTGCGACAACGAAATAAGACTGACCTTTGAGCAGAAGGGAAACGAAATAAGATTAACCTTCGAGGCTGTGGAGAGAAAGTGAACTGTTGAATTTGGCAGAGAGGAAACAAGGGCTTTTGAATTAGAAGGAGCACTTTGAAACGTATGAGCCCCAAATAACATGGGCTGAGACACTGGGTCTAATAGAAAACAAGGCTTGGTGACTCCAACATTATTGCAAGGGAAAATGATGTCATTACACTTTAGGTTTTAACATCTTCAAATATTATAATTTTAAGTGTCTTTTCCCGTCAAAGTCATTACAAAATTATCAATCACTCAAAAAATGACACGTGTTATATTTATATTTTTTTTAATTTTTTTTTAAATTTTAAATAAATATTATATTTTTTAAAGACCCTAATTTTTTCTAAAATAAAAAAAAAACCTAAAAACTTTTAAACCCAAAGCATCAGTTCTTACCGTCCAAAATTTGTTGACCATCCCTTGTCGATTGTCCACATAATCGCCCCTAAATTTTTAGCCAGCAGTCGAAACTTAATGTAAGACTGTACGAAGAAGAAAGACCATGAAATTCAAAAAAGAATCCTCGAAAAATCTCATATGTCTATCACTGTCACTATACCGAATGATCGTCAATCATCACCACTGCAGCAAACGGTCGTTTATCATTGTTATTGCATCAAACAACAATAAGAGATTTTAATTATTTAGGTATTGAGAATTTTAGAAATTTAAGTTTATGAATTGAGAGGGTTTGAGAGATAATAACGGCGGTAGATGGTCAGTGGATAACTGATGACAAGTGACTATTTGACGATTGCTGATAATGTAGTTTGGAATTATGGGTTTTAAGGTTTTTGGGTTATGATTTAAAAGAAATTTGAGTTTTTTTAAATATGATTTTAATTTTGAGTAATTGATGATTTTTAATTACCGTTATGGATTGAACACTAAAAATAATAACATTAAAAATATTGAACATTTATTTTGATTCAACAATACTCTTAAAATTTTAAGTGAACAAATGTATATTTTACGAACTTATTTTTTCATCAAGCTCCTTATAAATAAATAAAAAGATGGAAACTTTTACTTGGGCTTTTGAGGCATTGTTCAAGACTTAGTGATGTATGGAGCAATGAAGCATTTGAGCATTCAGCCCAAATTTTCCAGCTACCTGGATCTTTCTGGCCATCCAAACACTGACAAAATTATCAAATCAAAACCCAACAC